CCTGTAATTCTATTTTATTTATGTTTTTTTCCTGCTACAAAATCCCAGAAAAAGCTGAGTTGGGCAGGATCCACAAGGTTCGTTGAGTCCAACTCCTACCCTTGCACAGGACCATCCCATAGCGTCCCCTCCCTGTACCTGAGAGAGGATTGTCCAAACAGCACCACCTCCGAGGGCACCTCCTTCCCTCCCTCGGGGAAGGCACCGGAGTCTGGCCGTGCTGCTGCTGCTGCTCTTCCTCCTCCTCCTCCTCCTCCTGCTGCAAACGACAGGCGATGCTGTGGCTGAGCTCCAGCCCCCTCCCGGCACCTGCTGGCGGATCTCAGGTGCGGAGCTGCCGAGCGTGCAGCGCTGTGAGCACAGCCCCGTGTCGGGGCAGGCACTCCCACACCATTCCCTGTGCTGGGGGATGTGAGCTGCGGCTGCAGAACTGAAACTTGAGCAAAAAAACCACCCCAAACCACAGCGTGTTTGCTGCTGTCTCACCCAGGGCTCTGCTGGCCCTGCTGGGTCACCGGGGCTGTGTCTGTCCCAGGGGAAGGAGCAGGCTCCTTGTGCACCTTCTCTTCCCAGCCACCTCCTGTTCCTGCAGGCAGAGGTCAGAGTTTATCAGCTGCTCGTGGGTTGTCTCTTAAATGTCCCTTTTCTTTGTGCGGCTCTGCTCTGCTCTGCTCTGCTGGGGCTGTGCCTGGGCGATGCTGTCACAGGCTTTGTTCTGCCTGCACACAGGGAAAGGCTTCAAAATCCTCCCCACACCCTCCGTGGCTGGGCTGCCCTGGCCAGGGGGGTGCCAGGAGCATCACCCACCTCCTGCAGCTGCTGCTGGGTGTCCCCCTGCCTGGGGACAGCCTGGCACTCCTGTCCTGACCCAGCATGGGGGAGCTGGGCACCTCAGGACCACATCCCCAGTGCTGTGCCAGGTCAGATCGTTCGCCTTTGCTCTCTCTGGGTGTCACAGAGCTGTGCACTCTCTCAATGCTGCTGCTGCTCCAGGATCTCATTGTGCCAGAGGTCCCTCTGCAGCCTCCAGCCAGCAGGAGCCAAACCCTGGAGATTTCAGGCACAGAGAAAAGGGTTTCACCTCTCCCACGTGCAAACACTCCAGCAACAGCAGCTCCTTGCACCTGGAAACCTTGGGGAGAACTGCTGCTCCTGCTGGCAAAGGGCTGATCTCTGCTGTGCAGGATCCTCTCCCCAGCATTTCTTGCTCTGCTGGTCCAAGTGGCATTTTCACTGCAGTTTTCCAGGGTTTTGCTTTTCCTACAGGCTGGAAAATGCCCTTCTGGCAACCTTGGCTTTGAGACAGCCCCACGCTGCTGGGTCAGGCTGGCCATGGTGTTCCTGCAGTGCCCAGCTCCCTGCAGCAGCTCTGAACGCTCCCTTGCACGTGTGTTCAATAAAAAAAGGAGAGAAAAAAAAGAGCATTAAATATTAAAGGAAAAATCATCGTTGCCTGGACTCAGAGCAGCTCTTAAAAATGTTAGCAGCTCCAAAATCCCAACCTTCCCTTGGCTTTGAAAGCTTCCATCTTTGCAGCAGCCTGTGGAGAGCTGTGCAAGGTGTGAGAGGCAAAGTGCCCCTAAAGAAGGTCCCAAAATGAAGCCACATGGCCCAAAGCAGCAGCCAGGGAAATTCCATACCCCTGTGAACCTGCAGGGGCTGATGTGTGGAGGGGAACTGGGAAAAAGCCCTGGAAAATCCCAGTTCAGTGCCAGGGCACTGGGAGGTGCAGATTGTGCCACCCCAGAGGAGGGGACACCAGGGGACAGGACAGGAGCCATCCCACCCCAGGCACTCAGGATCTGCTCCTGGGGGAGCTGTTGGGGCTTTTTCTCTGCAGGGAAAGGCAAAGCCTTTCCTGCTCCCATCCCAATCCCAAACCCAATCCCTGCCTCACAGGGAACAAGGCTTTTGGGGCAGGAGGGGAAGATCCCTCCCTTCCCTTCCCCTGGGAGCTGGAAAAGCCTGAGCATCTCCAGGGAGACTCTGTAAACAAGGAGCAGGGGAGGGAGCAGGGGGGCTCCATCTGCTGCACCAGCTCTCTGCCCCGGCCTGCCTGCCCTCAGATGTCTCACACAACAGGAAGCAATAAAACACAAATTACCAGCACGGGGGAGCCTCTTTCCCCTGCTGGAGAGTGGGGTTTGCCCTGAATCCCACTTGGGGGTGGTTATTAACAGGGTTAGGAGGCTCAGGTGTTGTCAGAGCTCGTGGCAGGGGTGCCCAGCTCTGCTGCAGCAGGGGATGGTGCCAGCCCCTCGCTGGGATAACCCACTGTGATTCCCACATTGTCCCCATCCCTCTGCTGGCTGCTGTCCCCTCTCCCACGGGACTGGGTGTTCCTGCTTCTATCTAATCCCACAGGAGCTGTGTCTGTGCCTGTATGGAGATACCCAAACTGTTTCTATCTCATCCTGCATGGGCTGTGTCCATGCTTTTATGGAGATACCCAAACCCCTTCTGTCTAATCCCACAGGAGCTGTGTCCATGCCTTTATGGGGATACCCAAACCCCCTCTATCCCATCCTGCATGGGCTGTGTCTGTGCCTTTATGGAGATACCCAAACTGCTTCTATCCCATCCTGCATGGGCTGTTCCATGCCTTTGTGGAGCCACCCAATCCCTTCTATTCCATCCTGTATGGGCTGTGTCTGTGCCTGTATGGAGATACCCAAACTGCTTCTGTTTCATCCTGTGTGAGCTGTGCCCATGTCCTTATGGAGACACCCAAACCAAACCCAAATCCCATCCTGTGTGAGCTGTGTCCATGCCCGGCCCCTGCCCCACGCTCTGTTTACCCACCAGGCTCCCTGGGTCCCCCCTGAGCTGGAATCCCCCGGGCTGGCTCTGCCGTGTTTGTGTCTGACTCCCGTCCTTTCCTGCCGGATCTCTCTGGCGTCCAGCCCCGCTCGGAGCCATCGATCTCCCTCCCTTCCACCCCCGCCCGGTGCCAGCCCTGCCACAGCCAGGAAACCTTTCGGAAATGGCATTATTGCTGTTTTATAGCGCTGCAATGATCGCTGCCGCAGCCTGCTCTGCGCACAGAGCTGCTCTCTGCATTCAGCATCCTGAATCCCATCCTGGAGCGGGATCAGCCCCCCAGCCCCACATCACCACACATTGGCCACATCCTGGCACGGATTTCTCTCTCTCGTCTCCTTTGCCCACGGCAAAAACTGAACTTGTGACCCAGATGTGAGCAGCCTGTTATCTCGTTAGCCAGCCCAGCTTCCCCAGCAGCCTTTTATCAGCAGATAAACCCCCGAAATTCAGCCTGGGTCCCGGAGATGGGCTGGGAGATTCGCAGGTTAAACAGATATAAGAAGCACAGGTTTGCCCATAATTATTTTCCTGAATATCTGTCGATACTAATTAAAATTGTTCCCCATAATTAAATTTAAAACAGCAAGGGAGAGCAAGGGGTCGCTGAAATCCTTTTCTTTTGAATCACTCAGGGATAAAAGGGGTTTTCAAATCAGATTAGCAAAAAAAACAATTCCCATTTTCTCCCCCTGGATCCAAGAGAGGGACAGATTGTGGGGTGCTTTGGGGCTGCCCTCTGGGCCTGGCTGGAAATGGGGTTTAGGGGGGTTTAGGGGCTCAGGGCTGTGGCTCTGTAGGTGGCTCTAAGGAGAATTCAGCGTGTCCCCCAAACCCAGTGACACCCCAGAGCTGGATCAGGCAGGGAATGAGGAACTGGCTATGCACAAATCCCACCCGTGCCAGGACAGCAAGGACAGTGCTGCTCCCCTCCAGGCAAACCCTGCCAGGCTGAGCTGCTTTGGGGCTCTTACCTGAAACTGGGGCTCCTGCTTGCTTTAATTGATGCCCAATGCCATTTTTCTGGAGGAAAGGGGTTTGGATACAGCACTGCCAAGCCTGGCTGGAGATGCCAGGAGGTGCTGAGGGCTGGAGGAGCCATCCCCTGTGCCTGGGCACTGCAGGACACCCCTCACATGCAGGGCATCTTCCCAGGCGCCAAAACTGCAGGGTTTTGTTTTGTCCTGAGCAGGAACATCCCACTGTCCTGGCACACTCTGCCTGGCATCACCAGCATCCCCTGCAGCCCAGTACAGCTCCAGCTCAGCTCTGAACACTTGGCTGAGGCTCTGGGCAGTGACCTGACAGCCCTGCCCAGCTCAGGACACAGGGTTTGGCAGAGCTGGGCCATTGGAGTGGCTTTGGGGACATCCCTGGGCTGCTGCAAGGTCCCCAGGGCTGGGTGAGCCAGCCGAGGGGAGCAGGGCCATGCCATGGCAGTGGGAGCTGCTGGAAGCTGCAAAACTGAGAGAGCAGGAGATAAAACAACAACCCACATCCACCTCCTGCCCTCCCCGGGAGGGATTCTGGGACAAATCAGTGAGCTTGTCATGGTTATTTTGGATGGAAGGAGGTGACAGCTGTGCCTGAGGGACAAGATTCAGCAGCTCCAGGGGACTGGCAAGACCCAGGTAAAAACACCTCGTGTTGGGGGAACAGCTCCTGGCTCTCCCCTTGCACAAAGGAAGCTGTGCCTAAAGCCCAAAGCAGCCCAGCTCTGCCAGCCTGGGGTCTCCCAGGGCTGGAAAGCCAGGAGAAATGAGGCTGAGGAAGAGGAGGATCATGAGCAGCTCACCAAAATTAGCCAGGCAAGCTGACACCGTCCAGCTGGGGCGGCTGTGCCAGCAGCCACGTGGGGACATCCAGAATATCTCAGGGTTTGGAGCTGCCTGGGCCCAATTCCCGCGGTGCCTCCATCCCCAGGGGCTTCCTGAGGCCCCAGGGATGCTGCTGTTGGTGGCAGCTGGGACGTGGCTGCAGCACATGGGGACAGAGGTCCTGCCCTCCGCGGCGCTGCGAGACATCACTGCCTTTAGCTGCTGTAATGGGTTTCTAAAATTAGCTGCACACTCTGCCCTTGCACTGGAGCAGGACATTTCTCAGTTGTTTAATATCAAAAGTCCAAAAAAAAAAAAAAATAAAGGAAAAAAAAAAGGAAACAGAGCACAAAAGCCAGCCCAGTCAATGCAAGGCTAAGTTTATTTTATCACTTGTCCAACAGAACTCGACATCTATTTTAAGTCATTTATGAGGAGTACAAGTGTGAATAGCTGCAGAAGTTTTGCAATTCCAAGACACCACATACAGCTGCTAAAAAAAGCAAATTTTAACCTTCCCAACAAAGCCTCAAAAAGCAGCCCACCCTTCCCTAGATCATGTTTCCCATCTACTGATTTCAGGCAGCTAAAGCTCATCTCCCCCAGACCTGAAGTGGATTGGTTTGTGCAGAGAGCCCCAGCCATGGCAGCATCACCCCCTCACTGCTTCCCTTCCACTGGGGCTCAGTTTTCCCTGTGCTGAGCAGGACAGGTGCCGGTTGGTCCCTCAGGGTTTAGCCCTCCTTCAATTTAGGAGTATTTTACATTTTGCCATTGGCCACAGCTCCTATAAATAAACCCTGGCTGCCCGTGGCAGATGTGAGGCCTTTCCCTGCACACTGTGTTAGAGGCCCTGGCTCCCAGCAACTGGAATGGGGATGGATGGGAGTCTGCAATGAAATATTAATTGGGAGCAATGCTGCTCTCCTGTCTACAGAGGGGAATTTTAATTGAGAGCCACGTTAACAAGCCAATACCTTCCCTCACCATGTGGTCACAGCAGGAAGGAGAGATTGCTGGGACCTGCTCTTTTTAATTGGAGCTTCTCCAATCCCCTCTGTCTCCCCAAATCAACCCAAATTAGCAGCCCAGTGCTCATCACCCAGCAAACCCCATCACCAGCAATTGCTTGATTTGACTTGTGGTTTCCTAAGAGGCAGAAACATCTCAGCAAGGAAAGTCTGGAGCATCCCTGTGAGGTCAGGCCTGACCAGCAGCACCTCCCTTCATGCCCTTTAAATCCTAGATATTCCTAATTATTCCCAGACTGAGGGCTCCAGGTCAAGAAGGGCACCTGTGAGTGCCCAGCAGGATGGGCAGGAGATGCCCAGGGCTGGAGCAAAGCAGGAATTCTCAAACAGCACAACACCTGACAATGCAAGCTCAGGAGGCTGCCTCTCCTCCCCATTTCTGGCTGGATTTAGCCCACCCAGTGCTGCACTGGGCTTCAAACAGGATGGAGAGAGATGTGGGTCTGGCAGGAGGGGAACCTCTGCTCTTGCATTTTCCACGTGTTCTGCTAAGGACTGAGCTCTCTGAGGAAAGCACAGGAACTGCTGCAGCTCTCAGGGCTGGGAAATGGTTCTCTCTTATGGCTGAAGTTTTTAATTTCACAGGTAGGAGTGGGGAGGATCACTGCCTTCATCCTACAAAGCAGAAAGCAAAGCACAGCACAGCAGCAGGGATAGCTCTGGCGCCGTGTCCAGCTGTCACTGCCACATCCCAGCCACGTCCCCGTTCCTGTGGAACTCGTGCAGGTGGTCAGCATACCTGGGGAGAGGGCAGAGCCACGTTAACCTGCAGCCAGCCCCAGGTGCTCTGGCAGTGCCCCAGGGTGCTCGGGCAGCCCAGCACCGATTCCAAGGGGTCGTTCCCTGAGGATAAGCACTGTGCTCTGCTCCAGCCATGGCCAGCAGGGAACTGGAGTCATGGCACCCCCCAGGTCTCCAGAGTCATGCTTATAAACCTTGATTATAAACCTTTATCAGGATTCCTCCTGGGCAGGAGAGGCTTTGGAGAGCACCCAACCGAACACAAGTCGTTGCCCTGCTCTGCGAGCTTTTCCTCTCCCCTCCCTCATTGGGTTTAAAGCCCAATTAACTGGCCTTGTTTCCAGCACTGGGGTGCCCAAAAAAATCTGCTGCAGACCACCAAGCCCCCCACCAAGCAAGCCCTGTCCTCACTCACTTCTTAGCACAGAAGGCAGAGCAGTCCCGGCCCACGCTCTCGCTCCAGGCGGTTTTGTAGAGCACCTGCAAGGGAAGGAATGGGATCAGCTCTGCTCCCACCTCCATCCCAGCCCCTCCTCACTGCAGCCTGTGCCAGCCCAGCCCTGCCAGCCCACCCTGAGAGGCACCTGGGACATGGGTGTGCAGTGACAGCACAAAGGAATGGCTTAAGACTGATAGCGAGCAGGTTTGGATGGGATATCAGGGAGGAATTCTTCCCAGGTTTAGATGGGATATCAGGGAGGAATTCCTCCCAGGTTTAGATGGGATATCAGGGAGGAACTCTTCCCTGGGAGGGTGGGCAGGCCCTGGCACTGGGTGCCCAGAACAGCTGTGGCTGCCCCTGGATCCCTGGCAGTGCCCAAGGCCAGGCTGGACAGGGTTTGGAGCAGCCTGGGACAGTGGGAGGTGTCCCTGCCATGGGCACTGGAGGATTTTCAATGTCCCTTCCCACCCACACTGTGACTCTGTGGTCACCAGCGTGGGGAACCCCAGTGTGCTGCAGGGGCTGCCCTCAGGATGGTCAGGATGACCTTTCCCAGTGGGTTATTTTTACTGGGACAGTGCTGCTGTGGCTGGGGTGGCTTGGGAAAAGGCTCAGGGCTGCACATGGATGGAGATGTATTTTTGGAACAGGCTTAAGGAAGGTCAGTGCTTGGCTGTGCTCCTTTTTACCTCGGTGTCTCCGTGTTCCCATTGCAGAGCTGGGGCTTGTGACGAGGGAGAAGCTCTCCCATGCCCAAATGACTGATTCAAGCCTTGGGGATTTGTAAGCTGTTATCACCAGGGAATCCCTCTAACCACACAAACACCACCAGCAAACCCAAACCAGGGTTAATTGAATTAATTGAAGTCTCCCAGGATCAGTGGCAGGGATGTCACTCCCACTGTGGGGATGGAGGAGCAGGGGCTCCCTGCAGTCCCCTGTGGCACACACAGCTCATCCCCAGCCAGGCAGTGCTGGATTTCAGGCTCTTTTGTGTCTAGATGATGTAAGATCATTCCAGCCATGTAATATTTATGAATTTTCCTTTTTTTTTTTTTTTTTAGGTTGGAGCTTTAAAGTTTAATGATGTTTAACTTTTTATTTCCTTTGCTCCTTTCCTCACCAAAATAACTTTGAGAGCAGGACAGAAATATTGTTCTGATTTGGCTTTGATCTCACTTCCTCGTTTAATTATTGATGATTTGTTTGGCTTTTTTTTCCTCCCTGAAATGACAAATAAACTCCCAGAAACTGTGCAAGGATACAGGAGGGGTTTGCACTATGACAAACTCCCAGGAGATTTGGGCTGACTAAAGCCTCCATTCCTCCCAAACCTCTCTGCTTTCAACCCTGATGGGAAAAACTTGAAAACCAGAGAAAAATGGAGCCACAGGGCATGTCAGGAGCATGGGGAGAGCCAGAGGCTCTCATCCCTGGACAGACAGAAAATGAATTCCACTGGGCAGGAGGTGAAGGATGCACCCAGGAATAGGATCCACATGGTCTAGAACCAGGTAGTGTGGGCTCAGGGGTGTGTATTTTATTCCTAAAATCACCTATGGTATTAGATTCATAATAATTAACCCAAATTTTGCTCCCCACTGAGCAGAGGCTTGCTTGGCAACACATTGAACTCAGTGTGAGCTCCTGGCATGGCACCACCACGACCCCATGGCTCACCCCAGGAACAACCTGAGCGCACAGACAGCTCCCAGCTCCTCCCTTGGGCAAGCCTGTGCCCACCCAGGGTGGGATTTTGCAATTTTTCAATTGAAAGATGTTTTCCATTACCATCTGTGTGGCAGATTATCTTTGTCAAGTGGGCAGTTTGCCTTATCTCTCTCTTTGAGTGACCACAATCACTCCTCCCTGGGAGGGGACAGCTGCTGATAACAGCTATTGAACGTCCCTGCATGGCTGATAAGAACTATAACATCCCATTGGGAGATGCTCCACCCACAGGGAGGAGCCAAGCATTCCTACATGGATATAATCTGGAGGTTCTGGAACACCAGCACGGCTTCTCCACTGGATTCCCCAGAGGAACAGCAGCTGCCTCTTCTCCCACTGGATCTTCAGAGGAAGAATCCATCCTTCTCTACAGGATCCCTGCTCCAGCAGAACCACCCCTGACACTGCAGGAGGGCTGAGCCACAATTCCAATGGGACTGCACCAACACCCTGACCCACAGGGTGTCAGGTTGGGTTCTGACTCTGTCAGTGTTGTTCTAGTGTACCTGCATTGTTTATTTTATCCTTTTTTTTTTCTTCCCTATTAAAGAACTGTTATTTCCTGCTCCCATATTTTTGCCTGAGAGCCCCTTAATTTAAAATTTATAGCAATTGGGAGGGGTGGGGAGGTTTTACATTCTCCATTTCAGGGAAGGCTCCTGCCTTCCCTAGCAGACTCCCATTTTTCCAAACCAAGACACCTGTGAAGCGAAGGGGAGATCCCTTGGCCTGTCCCTGTCCCCCTCTGTGCCTGCAGAGCCACCAACACAACAGCTGCAGGGCTCTGGCTTGGGACAGCATCTCAAACCAGCTCAAACTCCCCCTGGAGGGGAGCACAGGCTGTTTTATCTCAGTGCCCACCCCTGTGGGCCATTTCCTCACCAGGAACACGAGGCAGTGCAGGAGCAGGGTGTAGAAGAAGGCCACGGTCCGAGCGGTCTTGTTGGACAGGATGAGCCGTCCCTGTGGGAGAGCAGAATGGAAAATCCCAGTTTAATGTGGCTCACTGGGAACCAGCTCCCCCAAACAGCCCTGGAGAGCCCTGGCCAGCACTGGGAGCCTGTTCCTGCCGACCCTGCAGGGAGGGGGTGTTTGTGCCCAGCTCTGAGCAGTGATGCTCCTGCAGAGTGGCTGCACAAGTGCCTCAGCCCTCAGCCCAGATGTGCCCAAACCAAGGTGGGTTCAGTGTGGGCTTTCCCCCACTGGAAACCCTTCTGGGGGTTGATTCTGAGCTCCTTCAGCCCAGCTCTCTCCAGCAGCTCTCCCTGCTGCTGCTGTGCCAGCCCTGCCTCGGTGCCTGCTCCTCAGAGAAGCCCTGGCAGTAATTAAGCTTTGCACGTTTTTAATTCGTGAGCTCAAGCAACTTTGTGATTTGCAGCATCCCCTCGTCGCCTCCTGAGCAGGACACTGGAGCCAAGGCTGTGCTGGTGCTCCCAGAGCTGGGCCCTGCTGTCCCCTGGCTGTGGCTCTGCAAGCTCTGTCCCCAAAGCTTTGCTCTGCACCCTTGCAGGAGGCTGGAAACCTGTGGAAACCAGGATGAATCTCCCTCCACCCCTCATTTTGGAGAGGTCACTGAGCACAGACAGACCCTGATGGTGCCTCAGCCCTTTTGGCACCCCACACCAAATCCCAGTGGCAAAACCTTCATGCCCATCCCTCCAAAAGCACCAAAATCAGGAGCAGCAGAGGAGTGGCTGGCACAGGATGGGTCCTGCTCTCCTCCACAGCCTCTCTTTATTCCTGCTGTAACCCAGGGACTCATTATGGACATAAGTACATTCCCCAAACACCAGGCAGGCTTTCCAGAGCTGGCATTAAAACCCACAGATCTCCCACCAAACCCATTCCAGGCTGGAATCGTCTTTGCTATTCACGGCCACGGCGGAGGCTGCTGGAACAAACAAGATTATGTTCTTAAATATTCCCAAGGAAGAACTCCCCTAAGTCAGTTTTTTTTTGTGTGAATGCCTTTCATTAATTCTCCGTGGTGCTGGCACGCCACACAATCCATATTCATGTTGGCATTTGCTTGGTTTTTATGCAAATTGCAGCTCTGCCTTTATTACAGCATATCTCTGTGTTCTCTGCAGCCCCACGTTCACCTCCCTTGTGCTGGAGAGCTGGGGGTTAACTCAGCCAAAACCCCATCCTGAGCCTGCTGCTAATGCCACAAATTCCACTAGAAGTCAGATTTCCTCAAAAATTTCCACATTTTTAGCTCAGGAAGTTCTACCCTAAGAGATGGCAGCCTGCAGGGGCAGCAGTCACCTCTGGGGCTCAGACAAGGACCCTCTACTGCTGCAGACACCGCAGCTCCCCCAGGATTTCCCCTGATGCTTTTTTGGAAGGAAGAGCCAGAGCAGGAAGGATCAGGGCTTGGGAAGGGGTTTTTAAGGAGAATGCAATGAGCAGCCAATGTGTGGAGCAGAGATTTTCCCTGGACCCTCTGCAGCCCCTCACTCTCCTCCTCCCCACATGTGTGGGGTGCTGGGGCTCTCTGGCGTGTCTCCTATGCAGGAGGCTTTGCCCTGTCTGGGGGTGCAGCCCTGAGCCCCACAGCATGTCACAAACCAGAGGAGAGGTGCTGGGAATCATAGAATAGAATCAGGATTGTCTAAATTGGAAATACCTCAGAAATCCTTGAGTCCAACCAGCACTGCCAAGCCCAGCACCGAACCCCATCCCCAGGTGCCACATGTCCCTGTCCTTGAAATGCCCCATGGATGGTGATGCCACCACAGCCCTGGGCAGCAAGGGAGGGAAGGGATTGCTCCCAACCCAAATTCCAGCATGGCCAGCGTGCTCTGCACCCTGCCCAGGACAGTAGGGATGCTTCCCCTGCCCCAGAGCCCCATTCCCCTGCAGGCACTGGGCTGAAACCCCCTGAGCTCCCACAGTGCTGGCACAGCAGCCACTCACCATGCTCAGCGTGGCTTTATCCCAGGGACTGAGGCTCAGGTACTTCCTCTGGCGTTCCTACAAGGAAACCATCCAAGATTTTGAGGCTCAGAGGGCAAATTTGCGGTTTGCAAAACATGGAAGGAGCTGTGTGCCCCAGGATGGTCCTATTTTCCCCTTACCCCCATGTCACAGTCATCTTTTATGAAAAATCCTTTCCTTATGATTTTTGCTCCTCAGAATCTGAGAGGCCTCAGGAACAAAATGTAAACAATGGTTAATCTGCTGCTGTGGAATGCAACAGGTGCATCTGTGATTGGTCTCATGTGGTTGTTTCTAATTAATGGCTAATCACAGTCAGCTGGCTGGGACAGAGTCTCCGAGCCACAAGCCTTTGTTAGCATTTCTTCCTATTCTATTCTTACCTTAGGATTTCATCAGAAGGCTAGCTTTCTTCTATTCTTTTAGTATAGTTTTAATATAATATACATAATGAAATAATAAATCAAGCCTTCTGAAACATGGAGTCAGATCCTTGTCTCTTCCCTCATCCTCAGAGCCCTGTGAACACTGTCACACCCTCAGCCACCATTAGGGCACAGTAACTTTTATTTATTTGATTTTGCTTTTGAAAGCAAAGGACATGTGAGTGTGTTTCATTCTGTCAGAGCTCCCTGGAGTTCACGTGGCCATGACAGAGGGGCTGGTGCAGAGGGAGGTGCTGGGAGCCTCTCATACCTTCCTGCTGAAGGAGGAGAAGGGGTCCAGGCGTTCCTCATACTGGGAGGAGTAGCGCTGCTCCGTGTCATCCCTGCTGCTGCCCTGGGGGAGCAAAGGCAGGGTCAGAGCCACAGGGACACCCAGCACAAGCACAGAACCCAGAGCCACCCCATTTGGGAGAAAACACCCCCAAAGGATGGAGCAGCACAGCCCAGACCTGACCCACAGGGGCTGACAGCATCAGAAAGGAGAAGCACATCAGGAGCTGTAGAATGAAATCCTTTCTTCACAGGATTGTGAAATGGATTTAGGTTGGTTTGTCTCAGTATTTTGGGCCCTTTCCATTAGATAATTGTCGCCTGTGTCATCCTCACAGAGCTGCAAATCCCACCCTGAATTCCTCTGCTGCTGGGCCAGGCAGGAGGGAGACAGAGGTTTAGGAGGAGGAAATCATTGCTCAAACACAGAGCTGTTAAAGGTTGGGAAAAGGGCAAGGAAAATGAAGAAAACCCCTTGAAAGAAGGGGAAGATTTGGGTGGATCCAGACAGGATGGATTTTATACTTCTCCTGTATAATTCCCCTTACACAGCCTTGCCTGCAGTGAGCCCAAGGATGCTCCTACAGCCTTCCCTGCTCCTCCTTCCTTCAGTGTTGTCTTATACATCAAGAGTCCTATTGTCATTATAGTGCAAGGACTCCATACCACCAGAGTTTCGTACCTCCTCAATGTTTCTTGTAGGCAGCTCCTCAGACCACTGACTGCTCCTGGTCCTTGCAGCAGCCATCTGCCTCCAGCTCCCACCAATCCACTCTTTTACACCACTGTTCTTACTGGCTACAGGTGTGGCCTGTTAACATCAGGCTTGTTCCTAATCTTTAGTAATTGGTCCAGCTGCAACTCTTTAGGGGACAAGATGACATTCTATACCACCTTCATTTACCCATACTGTATCCCCCTACCCTCTCATTGTGGAATTTGCTCCTCCAGCTCTGCAGGAGCTGCAGATTCCACAACATTCCTGCCCAAACCCAGCCTGGGAAGAGCCCGTGCTGCAGGCTCTGTCTCCTTGCTCCAGTGCTGATTCCCTGTGCCAGCACAGCACCACTTGCTCTGCACTCCCCGAGGCCTTTCTGGACCAGTTCCTCCTGCAGAGAGCCCTGCCTGCTCCCATTGCTGGTTGTTACACCTCTGTGTAAACCTTTAGTAAGGCCTCACACGCTGCAACCCGACCCTGGGGTCAGTGTGATGAGCCCAGAGCCCGATTTAGGGGCGAGGAGCTGCCCCAGCCTGGCCAGCACAGTGATCTCTGCTGAGTATTTTTAACGTGTCACATGTCCCATTAGGGGGTGAATTATGCAATCCCCTGCCACGCTGCCACGGAGGGCTTTGCTCTTTAGCTCATGGCAATGGCATTCAGGGGTTGCCTTGTGGCAGAGGATAAACATGGAGATGATATTCCACAGGAGAAAGGGGAAAAAAATGTCAGAGGGGATGACCTGGCGTCATCACGGGCACATAAAGAGAGGCACCAAATAAGGTCCCTCGAGCTGCAGGAGTTTCCCAGCACCAAACGCTATTAAAATATCCCTCAACAAAACAGATCAGTGCAGGCAGCAGGGAAAGGGGGGAAGGATGGCAGGGAATGGGTGTCCCCTGTGTGAGTGGCATTTCCAAGGAAAGCCTGAGGCCAGCAGAGCCTGACTCTGACAGGGAAGGGCTGGCAGTGGAAATGAGCCCGAGCCTCCTGCAAACCCCAGGGAGGAACCCCTGAGGGACACAGCACGAGCAGAGCAGGCTGCAGCAAAGTCTGGTCCCCTTTCCCTGCCTTCCCCTGGCATTACCGGGATGATTTTGGGCTGGTTTCTTCTGTTTTGTCTTCTGGCTGCTCAGGGAGCAGCTCTCTCTGCTGGATACAAGAAGCTCAGGAATGAGCACAAGTGGGACAGGATGAATTATTTTCAAGGCTCTGCTGCAGGGGTTTGTTGCAGGAGGTCCCAATTTTTTGGTCAGGCAGAATTATCCCCACCTGCCAGCAGTGAGCATCAGAGGGGGGTGTAGCAGCTCACTTAGGGAGGAAATTTGGGTTTCTGGCTTTGAAGATGTCATAAGATGCCCCAGCACTGCTCTAAACTGTCCTCCTGGCAGGGAGAACCTTTCCCACCCCAATTATCTCCAACTCCCATGCGAGCTGCACATTGGAAATGTGCAATTTCTGTGTCTGGGGGCTGCCTGCTGTGTGAGCCCAGCCCCAGCAGGGACAGACACACAGACAGACAGACAGGGGGACACTCACCCGGCCAGGGTAGCTCTGCAGGAACTTGATCTTCTCATAAAGCTTGATGTTGTCAGCTCTGAGGGTGTCCAGCTCGCTCTGCAGGGCGTGCACTGTGTGCTGCAGCATCCTGTTCTCCTGCAGGGTGAGGGGACAATGGGACCCTGACAGGGGATCTGGGGCACCCTGACAGGGGGGACAGTGGCATCCTGACAAGGCTCAGTCCCCTTCACCCCAGGAACCAAACCCCCCGGCTTTGAACTCAAACTGCTCCCTAATTAGAACTGCCCCAGTGTGGCAGGAGGGGGCTCCCAGTCCTGCCCAAGAAGGGCTGGGGCAGCCAAGGTGGCTGAGGGGGGCTTTGGCGATGGGCTGTGGCACCCACAGGAGGTGCAGACACAGCCAGACAGCTTGCAAAAGGTTATTTTGTGCTCTAGTTCAATGTGTTACCCCAGAATGTATTCTCTGTGTGCTTTTTCCATGGCACCCCCAAACACTGCCAGGAGCACAGGGACAGAGGGACAGAGGGATAAATGGGTTTGGGTTTGGAGCTGTCCTGGAGCTGCAGCAGCAGGGATGGGCTGGGGCAGGCTTTGCTGCTGCCCACAGCAGGATGTGTTTTCCTTTTGCCTGGCACAGAGTTCCCTGCAGGCCAGCAGAGCCTCCAGGCCAGGCTGGGCCCCTGCAGCCCCCCAGCCGGCTCCTCACCCCCTCCAGCTCCTGGTTCTTGGCCCTGAAGCGTTCCCTCTGGCTGGAGATGATGGAGAGCAGCGAGTCCACCTGGCCCTCAGGGAACGGGGTGCCAGGGGGTGCAGGGTGACCTGTGAACGAGGTTTGGTGTGAGACATGACCTGGCAGATGCCCACCACCCACCCCAGGGGTGTGCTCAAGGTCCTCCTGCTGTGGGACTTTGGGGGCACCCAAATCAACCCCAGTTATTACAGCATGGACTGCTATTTATCTATTTATTTATTTAAATTTATTTTCGAGGACTCATCCTCAAAGTGGACAGGAAAACCAATTGCATTGTTTGGTGCAACCCACGGCTGCCTTTCCCTGACTCCAACCCTCCCCATCCCTGCCAGACTCTCTCCTCTGGCCTCTGCAGCAGCTGCAGCATTAAAATAAAACCCCAGAGCCACAATCCTCTCTCCCCTGCCCTGACCCCTCATCCACCACCAGCTTGCTATGCCCAGGACCCCATTTCTATGCCCAGGACCCCATTTTTTGGGTGTTCCACATGGGCTGCCCCCCTTGATGGGACTCTGTGGGGCTGTGGCCATTCCCCCCCTGCTCTTCCTTCCTGGCAGTGGCATTGACAGCCAAGCAGAAATGTGTCCCCAAGGCCATGACTCAACCAGCTGCACTGAACAGTTATTCACAGAGCAGGATGGGTGGCTGCAGGTTGTTTAGCTTGGTGGGGCTGTTGCTGTGATAATGTTTATCTTGTGTTTTCAAAACCGTTCAAAACAAACAAACAAAAAAAGCCAAAACCAAGCAAAAAATAGGAAAAAAAAAAAAAAGGAAAGGATTTTTTTTTCCCCCAGAGGAGCAAGGAGTTTTTTTTTTTTTTGATTCATTTTCTCCTGATGCTGATGTACAGGAAATGTTTCACTCTCTGGCTCTGGAAGGGTTTGGTGTGGGAAGAGCAGAGCACAGAGCTGAGGGTGTCGGGTTCAGCCTGGGCTCACCAGGCCTGGCAGTGCCTGCTGCACCCCAGGAGGACACAACACATAGGCAAACCCTGGGAGGACACAAAAGATGGGCAAACCTTGCCCAGCACGGAGAATGTCCCAGTGGGAGCCACCATGAGCAGGGATGGCTCACGAGCTGCCATCCCTGGAGGGGTGTCCCTGTTGTCATTATATTTATTACAAAGGTTCCATATTGTTGTCTCCTTATTGTATGACCCTCATACCTTCTTGGTGTTTCTCATGGGCATCTCCTCAGAGCACTGACTCTTCCTTCTTCACAAAGCAGCCAAATGACCCCAATTCCCTTCCCAACACCACCCCACTCTTTTATAGCATCTTCTTCTCATTAATTACAGCTGCGGCCTGTTTAAGCCAGGCCTGCTCCTAATCTTTGCTCGTTGGCCCAGCTGCAGCTCCTTAGGGGTGAGATCACTTTCTACACCACCTTTATTTCCTTACATTCCATCCCCCTGCACGTCCCAGCCCAGCCTGGCTGCCCCCTCACCGTAGAACTGCGCCGTGGCCTCCTTGATGGGCTCGGGGATCCGCTCCAGCCCCGGGGTTGGGGCACCCTGGGCAGCACAAACAGCAGAAATTCAACATTTCCCACCCTGCCAAAGGGGCCTGGGCAGAGCAGCCCCTCCTGGGCCCTGCTGCAGCCTCACCCCTGCTGGGCAGGCTCTCTGCAGGGACGAGGGGCTGGGGCTCCTCCTCAAACCCCAGCCCTGGGAAGGGAAAGGCCTGGAGGGTCCCTGGGTGCCCCTGGTGCCACCCCCACCCATGCCAGCACCTCCCCATGGCACCCATCTCTGCTGGGCGAATTGTCAGAAAGAAAATAAATAAATAAATAAATAAATAAATAATAATAATAATAACAACAATAATAATAATAATAATAATAATAATAAATAACAACATTCAGAATAATTAATAAAGATAAAAATAATAAGAAATTGATAATGATAATAATAGTAATATTTGATTAATAATACTAATTTTAAAATAATAATGAAATTCTGCTATAATAATAATAATGATAATAGTAATAAAGAAGTAGTAATGAAGAGGATATAAATAATTATAATAATAAATATCAATACTAATGAATAACAATATAGTAATTAAGAATAAATAATGATAATAAATATATACTACTACTACTGCTACTAGTAATAGTAAACACCAAAAATCCCCCAGAAACTGAAAACAAGAGGAGGTGAACACTCTCCCATGCCCCCATGGGGCGGAGGGGAGATGCACCCATCTCTGCTGGGTGAATTATCAGTAAGAAAAGGAAGGGAATTAATAATAATTAATAATAGTAAAATTA